TAATGGCAACCAAGCCGATGTTTACGTGGCCCCCAGCGCAGCAGTCACACGCTTTCAACCGGGGGGAAGGCAGCCCGGGCACTTCTTCACCCGGTCGAATGGAAGAAGGGAATCGTGCATGGGGCCTCAGACAAGATAACTTGTCTCATCGCCATTCAATCTGAGATAGGCCATCGATACATAAGTCCATCTTCTTATAGGTCCGCGCGCATACATTCCCATCCACATTCTAACGGAGAGGGACAACACACACAACCTCATAGGTGACCAAGACTAATCTGGGTCTTTTCCTAACTACACTATCGTCATTCAGAGTAGAGTTAGACAACAGTCCTGATAAGGTAAGCACTTACTGTTTCATAGGGGGACAGAAAAGGTGCTTGAAAAGGTACTGACCGTTATCTATTCTGTAAGCCAGCCGTGAGACATGAACGTTATTGGCCCGCCTAACCTACCTGACTAATTGTAACAGTAAAAATGTTCAAACTATGTAGGGCTGCAGAACAAACAACAGAACAGAGAGGAGGAAAGATTTGACTGCACGAAAACTCAGTGGACATAACTGGCATCGGAAATAACGCTGACATCCTTAATCCGAGGGCGGACAGCTTCTCGTATCAAGGATAAATGAACGAATTCGACGTAGGAGCAACTTTTCTGGACAAAAAAATGGTGCGATAGTTCAGCAGCCCCTACCACCACCCACCCCTTACGAAATAACAATGAGGTTATTTTGCAGAAAACTATCTCCCACTACGTTATCATTCGTATATCAACATAAAAACACTGTTATTGGCCTTCTTGTTAGCAAAAGGGCAATCTAAATGCGACCATATCTGCGTTACATGGGAGAGGACATGGCATGGACTTTCAGGTAATAAGGAACATTATCACTACCTAGTGCTGCACTGACTACAACCTACGTCAAGACGAAGTTCCAGCCCTAACCACAGATATCCTCGGAGAAGTATGACGCTGGATTGTGGTCCACAAACACCTTTACCTAGCAAAACGCAGCCTTTGGAAAAACAAAATACTTTTAGGCATTGGGTGGATCGTTTTAGGAAAAAAAACCACTATATCTGCAGATACATTTTAGCTAATTCCAGTCATATTAATAGTTAAGCAAACCTTCTCAATAATGCATATTTTTCGAATTAAAAAGAGCAATACTTGCTGGTTTGAGGACTCACTGCTCGTCAAGAAACCGGTGTATTTCTTGCTTTTTTCTTAAAGTATCATCCGTTTCATTTAGCCGACTGCAAGCTACTTCTGCTGGTGTCAGTCCTGCAGAATCACGAAGGCTGACAGAACAAACCGGGTGGCTTGCCAATAGACGAACACATTCAACATGGCCGAATTTGCTTGCCAGGTGCAGTGGGCGGGAGAAGCTCTGGCATCAGGAAAGTTGGAAAAAACGGTAAGACAAAAATATGTGAAGAGTCTGATTTGCAGGAGATTTTAACTGAAAATTTCAATTTTAACATCAGTCATTACCTGAGAAACTGGAGCACATAGTGAATTTTAAAAAGACTTCAGTTGGTGTGTGTATATAAATGTATTAAGTAGCAAAGAAACACCCGGAAATCACCACAGTAAATATTACGAATCCTAAAAAATGATAATAACTACTTCAAGGACTACCGGCAATTAGAAAGAAAACCAAATTTAAAGGTCTTACCCCAACTTCAGGACTATTGAAGTAGAGATCGAGTAATCGGTTGCGACGGTCGTCAACAGTTAACGTATCTGCTGACGGACGCAGCTTGCTCCAAAATTCATCTGATTCCAAAATAGATAAGATCACCTGAATTATGTCTGCCCGTCCGCTGAGGGCCGCAACATGAAAGGCATTGTACCGGAAGCGGACCTAGAAATATAAGTTAGACGAAATTTTAAAGATAAGACGAAGTGAAATAATATTAAATATCTCGATGCTGACTCACTTCAAAGGCGAGAAAGTAGCCCGAATCTTATTTTAGACTAGATCATAGTTCCCTCTATTTTACTGAAGAAATAACATCTTTACGGGCAGCGGACGACAGAGAATATAGAAAATATTGCATGTTGCAAGTGAAGAATACATAAAAGCACGGCCAATAAATTACTACTGTCCCATTAAAAAAGAAGGAAGTGGACAATGACTACGAACATTTGTCAACAGACGCCTACCTGTAAAATGCTGGGCGTATCACAGTTCGTTATAAGCCAAAGGGGGTTTTCGTAAACCAAGGATCGGATAACACTAGGTTGACTAGTTTCAATCAGCCGACGAAACTTTAAGAGCTCTTCTTGCTTGAGTGTCGGGAAAGGGCATGCTTCGCCGGACACCGCGGTGGTGGGTTCGTGTAAATTTTCCGCAACAGTTGACATGGCGAAGCTGTTTGCCGCATCAAAGGAGGAAAATACCTTTAGCCGAGAACCCTTTACGGCCTTCAAATATTTATTTGCATCTGATATCGATGAAAAGACGCCGGCACGGGGTGAATTCTTAGGGACAGCCACCGCATAGAACCTTGAAGCTAAATCAGTAATAAACACTAATAACTTCATACGAAAGTCAGCATCGCAATCGAAGAATTCATCCTCTGTCTCACTGGAATTTTCCGGCATTAGGCAAGCAGAACATTGACATCTAGCTATTGCTCATTTGGCAAATACACTGAAATTTTACCACAGTAAAATACCGAGCTAATTCATAATTTGCGTTTTCATGTGATGCATCTGGTAACTGATGGTTTATTTCCTTTGCTGTTCGCGTGAAACATTTGATACATACATTATTTGTAGATTACCTTACGTAAATGTCGGGTGATTCTATAATAACCTGCGCATTATCTAGTCCCCAACATTCCAAATTATAGGTCATTTTATTCATAGATTCCTTCAGTCATACATTCCATTTAAAATTGGATCATTCGTCGAGAAAAAGGAAGATGTCTAACATCTGCAGCAACAGAAAGGTAAAAATAAAACGAATTAATACGTGAACGTGGTCGGAGATTCAGCTACATGCGATGATCGTTCGACCATCGACCAGTGTTCGATCATCGTTTCGCTCAATCAGTCAGACAAACAGTTTTGTGCAGGGAAGATGACTGAAGATAGCTATTAGTTTTAAGTGAAAGTTGACGTCTTAACTGTTTACTGCACTCTACATTTTGACCATTTTCTCAAGTACTTACAAATCCCCGGACCACGTCTCAGAATGGTCATCGGTAAATGGCCTTCTACCCAATGACCAGAAGTCAGCCCAGTGTGTTTTTCGATTGCGACCTTCTCCCGGTGCTTAATTTATTGACATTCTGCCCACAGAGATATCCCCTTTCCGGTATCTCTTATTCACTCTGTATATTGAAGGCCTTTTTATTAAATCCGCGAACTTCTATA